GTGACAGTTTTTCAAAAGATTTAGCCTATTAGCAAAGGTAGAAAGTCGATTGGTTCCCAGATGGTTTACAGTTACACCCTTTCTATTCAGTCTTAATCTTGCTTTTGCTATTTCAAGCCTAATTTCAATTCAGGTTGAAAAGAACTGTGTAGAAAGAAGAAGAGAAAATTGGTAGAAGAAAACAAAATGAAGTATTGTGAACTCATGTGTTTTGTATGTTTTGTCCTTGGGCCTCAGGGTGAGGGAGTGGGATGGAAAGTGGATAAACGAAATTTCTTGAAACTAGGGGCCTGTCTACACCAGCCTTTACCCTGAAATGGCCCAGAAGTCACTATTTTTGTGAAACTTCAGATGAACCTTTTTTTCAATGTTATTAAGATAATTTCTGGCATTTTAAAATGTTTGTTTGGGAGCCCACATTTAAATGTTTCAGTTTCAGAGTACATTATTTCTAATGAATCCTGGGCATTTACAGTACGATATAAATGCTTGGGCTTAGATTCAGAAAAACAAAATTGCTCTACTCAAACATGGTTCTCCTTTTGATGGCAACACTCCACATTCCCCACAAATGAACCACAGTTTGGGGTATTTTTAAGCAAAATCCTCCTTTTAATGATAGGTGACAAATGAGCCATTTTATTGTTACCTCCATTTGTAGTGTTGTTTGTTTGTTTTGTTTTGTTTTGTTTTCCTACTCCCTAGAAGCCCCCGCTCCTTACTTTTGAAAAAAAAACTATTGCTCTTTGAGGCATTTTTTTTAGGTTTAGTATTGAGAAATCTCATTGGACAATACATTGTGATAGTTGTTCGTCTTCATGACCTGTACAAGTGAAGCTAACTGACAGCTATTCCTTGTTAGAATGGTGGCACTTTGTAAGTTGACTGGAAGAAGCTTCATTTTGTTTTGAACTGCACCGTCACCAGTTCTTCTACATTTCAAATTCAGTCATCAATCCACTCTGAGGCCAATCCAAAATATGTGTTCTAAAATTCATCATGAAGTTATTGAAAAGGCAGTTGATTCAACAATATCAAATTAGAGTGGGGTTGGAGTGGGTTTGGATGGGTTGGAGTGGATTTCCAACCAATTGTGTGTAGCCTGTTGTCAACCTTTGCAACCTGAAAGACAGTTGCATCTGTCAAGTAGGAAAATAAGGCACCACCTTAAAGTGTGGGGAGGCTAAATTAACTGATTTATGAGGCCATAGAGAAGACTCTCGCAAAGCATTCCAGCGGGGAAGCGTGCAGGAATGCAAAAGTGCAGATGGACGATGAAAGTGACAGCTCCCCTGGCGGCCAGAAAAAAAAAGTTAATAGCCTCTGTGTATGTCTGTATATGTTTGTACGTCAAAAATTGGCATTGAATGTTTGCCATATATGTGTATACTGTAATCCGTCCTGTGTCCCCTGCGGGGTGAGAAGGGCAGAATATAAAAGCTGTAAATAAATAATAATAAATAAATGTTTTATTTGCAAAATTGAGGAAGAAACATGGTCATTTTCAATCACCCACAGTTTTTATTTTTGGTCGTGTCAGGAGCGACTTGAGAACCTACAAGTCGTTTCTGGTGTGAGAGAATTGGCCGTCTGCAAGGACGTTGCCCAGGGGACGCCCGGATGTTTTTGATGTTTTTACTATCCTTGTGGGAGGCCTCTCTCATGTCCCCACATGAGGAGTTGGAGCTGATAGAGGGAGCTCATCTGCAATCTCTCCAGATTCGAACCTGTGACCTGTCGGTCTTCAGTCCTGCCGGCACAGGGGTTTAACCCAGTGCGCCACTGGAGGCTCCTTAACCCACAGTAATAATTCCAAAGTCTATTTCAATGCTTACACAGATGGACTCAACTTTCTCTTCCTATTAACAGTTTTCCTTTTATACATGACTTTTGTCAAAAACATTCTCAACACTACTGAACTCTGATAAGCAGCAGACATTCAAAAAATATTGTGGAGAACTAAAGTTTGGTACAACTCTGAAGTCAGCTTCTGGCTATATGTGTGGTAGCAAGAAATGTTATATCCTTGCTCTCAGCGTCATTCACATGTACATTTTCACTGCATGTGGAAGTAACTGGCGTTGAATATATATAATTTTTGTGCTATAAAACAGTTTTTTAAATAACTTTTGAACATTTTGAAATATTGGTTGAAGCTTTGTACAAATGAGGTCTATGGTGAAAAACTCCTTCTCTTTGAGTTCAATGTATGACTGCCTAGTTGTCTGTCCATTTTTTCTTTCTTTTTTAACGGTAAAAGCTAATAACATTTCCCCAAGCCTTTGCAGATACCCTTTTTCATATCACAGCCTGCAGACCACAAGTTAAGAGCCACAGGTCTGTTCTCCCTTCTTCCTGATGTAAAAAACTACAAGCGTGTTGCATGTTAGATGGAGGAGAAAAGCAGATAACATGATCACAGAAAGATGGAATACTTTGGTGCCATTTCTTCTCTTATATTGGATAGTTTGAAGCTATGCTTTTCATTTTGATCTGTTGGAAGCTGTTTCCTTATATCACTGGGTTTCTTGTTGTATGCCTTTGAGTCAGTTCTGACATGATGACTCTCAGGGGTCCTATCACATAGTCCTTGTCTAGAGGCGATTTATCTTTGCCTTCCACTGAGCCTGAGAGAGTGTGACTTGTCCAGGGTCACTCAGTGGGTTTTCATGGCCAAGTAGGGATTCAAACCCTGGTCTCCAGAGTTGTAGTTTTGTGCTCAAACCACTACACTATTCTATCTGCTTGGATTCTTAGAGCTTTGGCCACAAGACAGTTAAAAGGATATCAATGCACTCTGTCTTTTCTATATAGCATAAATAAGGAAGGCAAGCCAGTAGCTGTAAAAATCCAGCTTTTGCTAGAGAAGCAAAAGTTCAGGCAAGGACAGTCTGCTGACATCACGAGAGAAGAAAGCTGCTGTCTTCTGGCAGGCTTCCAAATCTTTCAAGGAAAGAGGGTTTGTAATCTCACCCTTTTCTACAGCCCAAGGTACATGGCTGGTCTGAATCAAATGGGAGATATTAGAAATTATTCCATTCAGTGATCTACCTATGGGCTATTTCAGTAATACTCATGAGAGATGGAAGAATGCAGCCAGAATAAGTAGATAACATGTTAGATGAACTACTAGTGGGGTTTATTGAAGATAAGAGATGGAAAACTATGAATGAATTAGTCATGGGTTTATTTACTTTCCTTTAGTTTTAGCAATATGAAGCTCTCTTAAGGGTCTGGCAGCAAAATAAATTCTATCTGGTGAGCAGCATTTTCTACTACAGTCCATCTGTCTACATTGGCAATGTATATGAACAAGCCAGCATCTACTAGTTCCCTGCCATTCTTGTTGCAATGTGTTATTCTACTGAAGGTTCACAAACATATACTACACACACACACACACACACACACACACACAATGACATGCTTCCCAATATCTGTTCTAGGAATGTGGAATCTCTATACATCAATATCTTGTACCATGAGGGACTACAAGCTAGTCAGAAATACCATGCTGACTAAGACCATGGCACACCAAACTACCAAACTCCTGCCAATTTGGACTTACTCAAGTCATAATTAGTTCATTTTTGAAAACAATATGTATCTCCCAAGTTAGTGACATTGTGATGGACATTCACATGGAACCACAGCATGCAAACAACTTCATGCCTGATCTGAAATGACACTCTTCAAAACATATTGTGTGTGGGGGGGTGGGGGGTGGGGGGGAGGGGTTGCTTGACTTTAAGCAGCAACCATAATAAGGAGTTGTCAGTGGTATACATCTGATCCATGGCATCATAATTTACCAACAGGTTGCCAGCCATTGTTGGGATTTCACAAGTGAGTAGGAAGTTGGAAAGACCATTAAGATTTATTGGAGTAAATGTATTGTGCAAACAAACAGACTAATTTCAAGAGAGTGTACATAGCAGGAAAACAATGGGGGCTAGGTTCAGCAAAGTGTGATTGCTTTTCACCTAACTGTTGCATTTACAGATTTAAGAGTGATTTAACTTATTACACAAAGTTGTGTTGAGAAGCTAGATAGGAGACAAGGAAATGAGTGAAGGAACTCTGAGAGGTCTTGTGTTGCTATGATACTAGTTCTAAGAATGTCTTCCCCCATTTCTGCTCTTTCCCCATGATCCCAGGGGAGCTGGAGCAAAGCACCACCACTGAGGGACTGAATAGATACTCCTTAAAAGGATTCACACTCTCCGTGGGGCCAAAAATGGGGTTGGGGCAATGAATGCTGAAATTCTGTTTCTTTATAAAAGGCCTCCTTGATACAAAATGAAGCTATGCGAAAAAAATCAAATCGGTTTTCAATTAAGCAATGTTAAAAACTTCTCTCAGCTTCAATTCAATAAATACCATAAGCTGCAAGTCTTTTGGAAGAAATTGCTTTGGATTCAGGTTCATCTCCTGCTGATGCTGTAGTAAATGTGCCAAGAAAGCCCCCAGCACACATTTTTTCAGATATAAAGAAATCTGGATAAGATTCTAGAAAGCTACTTCAGAGATTACCCCAAACATAGTCCAGCCAACCCCATCCAAGCATTTTTGTGTGTTTCCATGGCTATTTCTTACAGACACTATGCTACTTTTGTCTACATGTGGTTAGTTATGCTGGAAAAAAAATCAAATGAACTTTTCCCTACAAGTATGTAGAATGCCCAGAAAAGAGCTATTATCTCTCTGTGCTACTAAAGCCTCATAACGACAATTAAGTAGTCTAATAATTATTCCTTCATATAATGATCAATCTCAGAAGAAATAATTAGCTTGAACAATTTTCATTTCATTTAGCACCCTTTTAAAATGATCTTGCTGTTTGTTAATTAGGGCATTGATTTTCTGTCTCTCCAGTTTAAATCAATATACACATTTGCTGATAATTTAATTGGTTATGCAAATGAATAGCTAATATCTCCTTGCCTCAGACTATTGATTAATCTTTTACACAAAATGCTTGTTTTGTTTCCCTCTTATAGCACTGCAGTGATAATACAAACCTCTGTCAATCAGATATGAACATTGTCGGTGCCTGGAGGAGAGGCTACACTGGAAAGAACATTGTGATCACCATCTTGGATGACGGCATTGAAAGAAACCACCCAGACTTGATGCAGAATTACGTGAGTTTCCATAGTCCTTCAGGTTGCTCTTTTTTCCTGCTGAGTGATACTAGTAAATGCATCAATGTGCTGGAGTTATTTCACATGCAAGTGAGGAGAAAAATGCCTGAAGAGGGAATGCTAAGAAATTAACAATAAAAGTGAAACTGCATTATCACTTTAACCTTTAAGAATAATTTGAATTGACTACACGGGGAAGACATTAATAACCACTGATGTCATAGCCTGGTTTCCCCCACTGATTTGCTTCTCTCATCAGAGGTAAAATACTTTAAGTGATTCTGAAACTAGGTATTCCTCAGAATTGTCTTCTAGTTTTATTCAGTCAAGTAACTTTTACTGTTGTTTTAATACATTTTACCTTCATTCTTGAGATTTTCGGTTCCAGGATGTTACTGATGTATGGAATAAAACATAGGGTTCAAGCTCAAAAAAGTGCACTGGTTATGCACTTGACACAGACAAATTCAGTCTTGTGTTGACCAGTGTTTACTTTAACAACTCCAAAGGCAAATACATCATATTTTACCAGTTGATATTTCAGTGGCAATAGAGCTTCTTTTAGACAATTATATATCTATCTCTTTTATATCCAAATGTGATTCAAACATCTCAAATCACAAATTTAATGTATACACACAGATACCTTATCCCCAGTTCAATAATCCATGGCTTAAAAATATTCCACAAGGAAAAAAATCTAAAAAGCAAATCATGATTTTTGTCATTTTATATGAGTGACACAATTTCATTACACTATATATAATGGGACATAAGCATACATAGATTTTGATATTCACATGGGTCTCCGAAACCTCAGTGAAGTCCAAGGAAAAAGAGATTCCATCACTTCTTGGGATGATGCCAAGTTTCAGGGCAACCAGTTTCACAATAGATCCATTTTGGATAAGTTTCAGTCCCAAATATCTCAGTTGTCAGGCTCTTAATACATCCCTTGCAGTATTGAATTTATTCTTTATACTGGAAATTTATGTACCATCCAAAATTCACTTTCACAGTTTAAAAGTCATAGTTGTAACTTTGCTAATCATTTCAAATAGCATTCTCATTTTTGAAGTCTTTTAAGCTATTGAGATTTACTTTGAGATCTGGCACCTGAGAATGCTTATAAAGCACATAAAATGATAGCTTGGCAGCCTGGAGCTATCTCATTTTACAAGCAAAATTTATTTCAGCAGCAGTATAAATTTACCCCATATTGCCACAACCTACTTATCTAAGGGCGCTTCTACACAGCTGTATAAAATCCACATTGAACTGGATTATATGGCAGTGTGGACTAAGATAACCCAGCTCAGAGTAGATATTATGCATTATCTGCCTTGATATTCTGGGTTATATGACTGTGTGGAAGGGCCCTAGGTTTGGATGCATTCTTTGGTTGTGGTTCAAAGCATACTTAGAATCTTGTCTAATTTGATTTCTACAAAATGGAGTGCTTAAAGCATTTTCTTGGTTATTTTTGGTAACCTAATTTTACAGTGTTCAGTCTGTAGGTTAATGTTCCCAATTTCATTTCTTAGCTGGACAATGGAATTTAGCTGTCCTTCCATTTACATTCTTAAATTAAATGTTTGTGTGGCTGTTTAGGAACTTGAGACAAACAGATAACTGATTTTGATATTTCATGTAATTTAAAAGCCATGAAATATAAATCAAAGGTATCTCCAAATGTCAGTTCACAAAAAAAGAATGCAGTTTATAATGTTGCAGTCAAGGTCATTCAAGATAATTGTCGAGATAATTCAACACACATATATGCCACTTCTGGATCTACAAAGGATGTGGTTGTTCAAATGAAGACTGGTGATGAGATAAAATGAGAACCTAACAATATATGTAGGCACACATATTCCTCTTTCCAGTTTTAATGTTTCAAAATTGCTTTATTGCATAAAATGTTGTGATATGATGTTTGGCATTATGTATTTACCATATATACTCATGTATAAGTTAACTGTATGTATAAAGTAGGTTTGTGGACTAATAGTATGGTTTGTGGACTAATAGTATGGATTTTGATATGACCCACAGATACATTGAGGGTCATTCCACAGAGAGGTGAAAGCACCAATGTCACCATTAGACCAGCCACCCCTAGCTTCTGGAGTCATTTCCCCACTCGGGCATTCAAAAAGACCATGGTGAAGAGAGTAGAGAGTTTTGGTGCTTTTTTTAGGGTGGACTCTTGCCTTTTGCCATTCTGCTCAAAGGAGGGGGTGGTTCTTTTTTGATAAGAGTTAAGGTACAGTACTCACATTGACCCATTGTGTTTGTGAATGACTTTTTAACTAACATTTCTCAACGTATACACAAGTATATAGGATAATTACTCATGTAATTTATGGATTAAATGTTACATGATCTGATTTTTTAATTTTTCTATTATGACAGTTCAGCATAGTCTGAAAGTTGATATTTATTGGGGGGGGTTGCATGGCTTACAGGCTAATATGAAACTTTATTTTGTTGAAACATAAGTGCAGTTAATGGTCAGCTTATACAAAAGCCTTTAATAAAGAACTAATTAATGCATACATATAAAAACAATTAAAAGTAATAATCAAGATTTATACAAAAAAATCCACTGATGTAACTGGCTAGTGCTTCCAACTTTGCCATCTCAGTCCACAGCACTGAGGCATGTTTGATAGGGATAGCTATTAGCAATGTAAGACTTCCTTCTCCAGCCAGAACCCATTGATATATTAACTGCATGTCTACAAGATGAGCATTCTTCCATACAACAGTGTGCAGGTTGGAGTTTTTGATGCTGTGCAGCAAGTATTTGCTGGCAGAGTTTAGGTCTTAACTTTACCAAATAGTGCATGCTTAAAAGCATATATGGTCCTTGTACATCACTCTATCTAAATGAGAGTAATAGAATATATAATTGTTTTGTTATAAAACGATGTAAAAGAATCCTTCAAAGCCTTTTAGATTACTTAAAAAAAGACATTTGACATTACTAGTAATGATGTCATATAATATTAATTTATTGACTCCACATGAAGGGTGAAAGTGATTAAAATGGTTAAAGATTATAAGGTTGACATTCTATGCTAACAGAAAAGTCATAAGAGGAAGGGTAATACCCAATTATTCAATTATAGGAATTGGGGGGGGGCATATATTTGAATCAAGAAATACTAATAATGTGCGGGATGTGGCAATTTTAATTTAAAATATGATAAAGTTCCAATTGGAAAAAGGGACACAGAGGAGAGCTAGGTAATGATAAAAGGGGAAAAAAATAAAAAAATGAATTTCTCTGGTTTAGAGAGTAGGGTTAAAGAAGATAAAATACTTAAGAGTATGGATTTATAAAACCCCGAAGAGTATAAGGGGAATTATAAGAAACATGGAAAGTAATAGAGAAACAATTCAAGAAATGGGAAAGGTAAATATTAACAAGAATGGATAAAATAAGGGCCTTAAAATGTTTATAATACTGAAATTGTTATATCAATTCCAAACACTACCAAATATAGTAGAAATTAGGATGTTAAAGATATGGGATAGAAGAATTAAAAATGGGTAGTTGGAGAAAAAAGGCCCAAAATAAGAGGTAAATGGTTAAATGAAAAAGAGGAAGGAGAAGGCCGGGGAATACAAAATTTGGAAGCATATCATGATATGTTTCAAATTCAAAGATTGCCAATAATACAGTATAATAGAAAAATGGGTAAATATGGAAAAATAATTAATAATATTAAAGAAAAAGAAATAATATGTAAGGAATGGAATACAAGAGTGGAAATAGAATATAAGGAACCATTTAAAGGAACAATAAGAGTGTTGAAAAATAGAAAGCAGAAATTAAGTCCAGACACTGAAAATAAGTTGGCAACAATACGGCAAATTGATCACAATAATAACGTAAATATAAATAGAACATGGAGATGGATCAAAAGAAGAGAGAAAAGACTAGTAGAGGTCTTGTATTCAGATGATGGAAATCTGGTAGAGCAAAAATAAATTCAGAATTGTACAGGAGCAGGAAATTAGATTCAAAGGTGGGCTATAAGACAAAATATTAATAGACAGAGGAGGAGGTAGAAGATTAGGGAACAGGACAGTCCATTTGAGAAAAGCATAAGGAAATGTCTGAGAAGCAAGAAAAAAGTGGCAGGAGACTTGTACGACCAAAGTGTAATGGTAAAAGAAGAAATAATAGAGGAAATATTTCAAACTTGGAGAATGGATATGGAAATTGAGGGAAAACATCCAGAGGGAAATAAATACTATAGAAAAAGAAAAATATAATGTACTAAGGGTAGAAGGAAAATGTTACAAAAATGGTACAGGACTCCTGCACAACTTTCACGCTTTTCACCAGGAGTAGAGGACAGGTGTTGGCATGGTTGTAAACAAAGATGTGTATTTAATCATATAATATGGGAATGTGATGGAGTACAGGCATACTGGAAAACGATTGAAAGAGACATTAATAGAATGTTAAATCTTCAAATAGTAATGGCCAATATAAATTTATTATATGCAAGGAAACCAGGAAAGGGTGTTTGATAAATTAATAGTGTGCGCTTGGATTGTTTTAGTGAGGGGTTGGAAAGATAAAACAAAGTGGACTCTGACAAATTGGTATAATTATATACTTAATATGTTAAATGTGGAAATAACAAACTGTAAATTGAATAATATAGATAAAATAGAAAACGTTATAGTAATTAAGAGCATGTGGAACCCAATTAGGAATTATGTAAAGAATGTATTAAGATGTGGAGTGGAAAAACGGAGATTAAGACTGATATTTCAAATGTAATTTCTGTAGTTTATTGTACAAAGTGTATGTCCAGGGAGAAAGGGCAGAGGGTAGGAATGGAGTCAGAAGAAAACCCCAAAAAAACAAAAAAGAGAGAAAAAGATATTTGTAACATAAGCATTTGTGGACTGCCATTCATTTCGTTTTTGGTTTGGCCAGTTTTTACTCAGGCAGTAAGCATGCAATCCAGAGTGTAATTGGACCACCATCTGGCCTGGTAATCATCTCATTGAGATGTGGAGCAAATGTGAATTCATTTTCCTATGTAATTGGATACATTGCAGGCAAGAAGAAAGGGGAATAGAATGGTGCTAGTAGTATAGATATAAGTGCCACAGTGCAAAAAGAAGCTGCCTTCAAGGTAGGTTTGGTGAAAGGTGATAGTCTTGTAGTTAATTCCATGACCAAGCAAATTGTTCAAAGTGTCATAGTAAATTTCTTGATCAAGCAGTCAGCCTACTCTGGGATTCTAAGTGTTTCTGATAAGAGACTATATGCTCTTGAATGGAAAGTTTAGGAGAGGGAGGGAGAGAGAGAGAAAGGCAAAGACTAACTGGTTTTCTCCACTGTCACTCAGCTGTTCAATCCAGCTCCTTCCCAAGCAGAACAGCAACGTGACAGGGAGCATGCAGGACCAGCCTTTGCCTTGGCTTCTGTCATGTGGCCAGGGAGGTGAGCTGAGCAGCCTTCATGGCCTCCTTGTGGGGACATGGTCCGCAGACCACAGGTTAAGATCTACTGCTCTAGGATGTTCCTGTCAGTCTGGATTGTGTTCTTCAATTCTTCAATAGTTTCACTGTATACATTTGGTGGTGTTAACTGACCTTAGATGGTCCATCTTCTGTCAACACAAGTTACTCTTTCTTAGAAGTAGGGTGGGGATTGTTAAAAATTTTTGTCATTCAGGAAAGATTTCTGCATTTTATCAGCTGGCAGTTCTTTTGTTGCAACATTGTAAATTGTGCCTGGGATCATGTTGGGGGAAATAACTCTCGACATTACATGCAGAATCACTTTCTCTTCTGCAAAGCTCACAAGTCATCCAAGGCTACGTCCAAGAATGTTCTCCATTCTTGTTCCAAGCATACCATTAAAGCTCTCCAGGGGAAAGATAATGCTTATCACAGTAGCATTTTGAAAAATGCCACAAAGCCAACTGTGTGACCCACTTATTCCTATGATCCAGTGCTACGGTCTGCATCAGTGCAGGCATAAATACATGTGCTGTGTACCAGCATAGATTGGCCTAGTAAATGTGTGAAGTATGGATGCCATTTTGTTACAGAATGCTAATCTTGCATTTTGTACAGACTTTACAGGGCAAAATTCAGGAGTTCTGTTAAGTGTATTAATTTTGTAGGTATTTGAAATCACCAGTTGAGTTGTCAGTTGTTTTTGTACATTCACCAGAATAGGAATGAATTTGTTAGAAAACCAGCCTGTGTGCCATCTTGAATTCTAGGTGTTGTTCAGTTGACTTCTAAGAAGTGGTTTACATTTAAGCACAGCGATACTAGCCTTGGGAAGTGGGTCTCCCCAAATTCACAAAAAACACCTCTTGCATCAATTTTCAAGGAAGAATTGATCAAATGCAAGACTTTGAGTGGAGAACTCCATGCCACTGTCAGCAAGCACGCAGAATTTTAAAAACATAAGAAAAGGAGTAAGAGAGAGGGATAAAAGATAACATGTCCACATGGCTCACTTAATAAAATAAGCATGTTTTTCTTCTTCCTCGCAGATTTCTTCTCTAAGTGCCCACTCCCACAGTCCCTCGGGCATCTTTATTTCACTGCCATCCACCTCACACATTTCTGAAAAGAAGGGCAATATTCAGCCTAGCTTAAATTTCAACACATGGCACTGGTTAAAAATCATTCATTTTGTAAGAGATTGCAGACCAACACAATACATTCATTCAAGGGAACTATGAGCATACATTCATTCATTCATTCATTCATTCATTCATTCATTCAAGGAGACTATTTTGTACTTTTACATATAAGGACATTCGAATGTAAAAATCTAAGACATACAGTGTTTCAGGAAATGACTATCTTGGTCTAAACACATAATTTTCACATTATTTGAAGTGTTTTCAGATCTGCCAACCAGTCAGACAAGGGAAAAAGAAGTGTGGTTTGCTGTAGGTTTTGTTTCAAGCCACATTTTTTGGGGGGAAGGGGGGAGATAAGGTTGGAAATTGGGAGTTGCCTGTGGACTAGTCACAAAATTCTTGTTTTGACTCTGGAAAAATCTTGTAATCTAATATGTTATTAATTCTGGCTCCCTGGTAGTACTAAAATGTTTATTTAAAGCTTGTAGCACTAAATTTTAGGAGTACTAAATCATTTTATATAAAGCAACCCACAGTTTTATTTAAGGTTTAATGTTCTTCAGGTGAGCAGTATTCAATCAGTATGTCAATCACCTTCAGTCTGCGTTCAGGATACTATTCGGTTTATTAATTTACTAATTTCTGTTCATTAATAATTGCAATAGCAGAACAGTAACTGGTGTGATGTAGTGACTTGAGCATTGAACTATGACTGAATACATGAGTTTGGGTCCGTGCTCATGGAAACCAATTGGCCGACTTTGAGCAAGTCATAATCTCTCAACCTTAGACCTACAATAACAACAATCCAGTACTGTACATTGAATATTTTCTGCTACACTCTGGTTCTCCACTGTTGGAACTTTGACTCATGACTCTTCCTTAAAAAAACTAATTAGAGATTTGTAGCTGGTAACAAATTAATTTGAAATTAATCACCTAGATTAAATTTTAGTAGTATTTATTTGTGTAGTTCCCTTGAGATTAGCAGACTCTGAGTAACATCTGAGGTTACAGATATGTGTTCTTCTTATTTTGGCCTCATTACATCTTTACCATTTTTGATTTCATTCTTTATAATTCAAGTAATCATATTAAAATTATGTTTAATACTTAACAGTTTAGCACTGAAAGTTACTGACTTTGTCCCAGTCTAGCATTTTACGTGCAACCTTCTGGATCTTGTTGGCCCTAGCCACCATAGGCAATGTGGAAGAATGCTACATTTGCATTGCAAGTACATGTGGAGGGTCTCAGTATTCACACTTTCGTAATTTTTTAATAATTTATTTCCAATAAGCTTGCAGCAAATTTTATTAACCATTGATGTGAGTAAACATAGGTAATACATGCTGGCAAAACTAAGTAGAATCCTTTGAGGGCCCTTCCAGACATGGCAGAAATCTGGGAGGAAGCAGGTTAAAATAATCTGCTTCCTCCTGGGTTCTGTCCCCAGCCCCAACCCAAAATTCCGGGCTTCCCGGAAAGTGGCATGTCAGGAGTACTGTGCAGAGGAGTCTGCACTGCCAGTAAGTTTTAAAGGAAAAATGGGGGACTGGAGGGGAGGGGTAGGCACCCTCCCACTCCTTCGAGCTCCAGGAGCCTAAAGAACTGGGATGGCTGTGGTGATTGACTGTGGAAGCAGTCAATCCCCACAGGCCCAGCACCTAAAAAGATCCAGACTTTAGATTAATATCCAGATCTTTCCAGGTGCCAAATTAATGAAGAGCAAACTGGGAAAACTCAGGATGCATCCACACCATGTTTAAAACGCATGAGCACTTGCACTTTTAGTTGAGGCCCAATTGGGTCTGCATTAAAGTCCTGTCTGGGACCACCCTCAGCTTTCTCCTCATTGATTTGCTTTTACCTGAGGCGTTGTTTGGACGCCACCGGTGAAAGCGAGATAAATCCTGTGTTTTGGACCTGTCTGGCAGGCCCTTGAAGTGAAGAAAGCAAATAGCTTTGAACACAGGCGAAATTTTAAAGAACTATTTGTTAGAATGTCAAAAAGTTGTGTACAGTTGTTTTTAGGAAAATATAGAAAAGAGAACAAACACGAAAACTTGCATATATCCCCAAAGATATGGCACACATATAATTCAGTAGCAACTGTTAAAAATATCTTTATTCAAATGTAGTGTAATCTTTTAAGTTGTGTATTTAAATTCTTTTTTGACATATGGAAATAATTTCAAGGCTACTAATTTTTTTTGAATAATTTAAAAAGCTGTGCCTTTTAATGAAGTTTGGGAATGTACTATTTATCATTGTGATAAAAAAACATTTTAGATGAAGTAAAGGAGCTTGACATATCAAAAATAAGATTTCACAATGAAGTGTTTAAATCAAAATTACAATCCCCCCCCCCCCAATAAATTAGAAGCAGGACCCTTAATCCCAGTTCATTTACTGAGCGCAATTTAAATAATATATAAATCTTTTCAGTTTTGAACATGTAGTTCTTTCCTAAAACCGGCAGCTGCAACCAAACCACAGGAATGTTAGTTAACCTAATTGCACTCCTGTAGAAACCTGCTGAGGAATGTATGAACTAGATGAGTCAATGGCTAATTAATGAGGATCTGCAGTTCATTTTCTTTCCATCTCTCTTTCCATCTCCCTTCCCTGTTGGCTACAGGACCCAGATGCCAGTTTTGATGTCAATGGTAATGATATTGACCCCATGCCTCGATATGATGCCAGCAATGAAAACAAGTAAGGCCAGTGCTCTACGGAATATATGACATCTTTAATTCAAATGTGCTTATAGGTAAAATGTACATATTTTGTTATAGTGACAGATAGTACTAATCGATTAGGTGGCAATCTAGTTCAGAATTCCACTTTTTAAATTTTAATTAATAATGTAATGTAAATGTTTTGTTTATATCTACAACATGTGTGATTTATTTCTAATCACTTTTCTATCTCACAAATATTTAATTCTTGAAGGGAGTTGCCTGAGCATATATGTTTCAGACCATGAAGTACTTTTGAGTTACAAATATTTTGAACTGTTTTCCCCCTGCTCTAGTAGTATTTCTTTTTAGCTACCTCTTCCACAAGACAGAACATAACCATGTAAAGTTGCCGTATGGATTTTTCTGTCTACCTAGGACTGATGAAATTGTAAGATTTTCAAGAAATGTCTGGTTGATAGCTAGTTGAGCAGACTTAGGACAGAAAAAAAATTATAGCTCAGAGCTGCAGCTATCATCTTAATTTATATATTTTGCTGCCTTATTTCTTTGGCAATTCAAATGTGGTTTAGGATACATATTTTAACAAGCAATAGACTGAAGGATATGAAAGATAATCTGGATCTTTTTGTCTATGTCTAGTGCTTTAGCTACTCGAGGAACAGAAATTATTTTATCCTAGCTTGGATAGTCATCCACCTTCTTTCCACACTTAAATTGAAACATATCTCAAGAATGCAAAACATCAAATTTACTGAATCTCTGATGGTCTACCATGATAGCCTACATTCAGCTCAGTATCATAGATTGTGGAACCATGGTCTGGATGTTAGAAGTATGAATACCTGATGAATACTCTTTCAATCTCCATCGATAGTGCTTTAATTATACTCAGTTACATAGAATTAGTGATTCCTGTAAACCGCAGAAGCATTTTCTCCCTTGTCCTGTTTTCTCCATGAGGCTTTCTTGTCTCTTATTAGGTGTTAAAAGCCCGTGTACGCTGCTGGTGAAGATGACTCAGCTGTCCCAAATGTTCTGATTGATATGTTTATGTGCCTTCAAGCCATATGTATACTTTTGATGACTCTATGAATTTCATAGTTTTCTTAGACAAGGAATTCTCATTGGTAGTTTGCCATTTCTTTCCTCTGAAATATAGGCTACAGCACCTAGTACTGTTTCTATTGTGGTGCTGCTTTTGGACTTTTTCAGTGCTTGAGTGGGAAATTGTTAGTGGTATCCTATCCAAGTGCTAACAAGAGCTGATACTGTTTTGTTTCCACCATCAGAAAGAATCTGGTATCTGGTATTATACCTCCTTTTTTTGCTTAAATTCTTTAGTTAAACATGTTTATTATATTACCCCATCTCTACAGCTATCCTTCAGAAATTAGTGCCCTGAAGGGATAAAATCGTCAAACTGGAAAGGAGTACATTATAAATTGGGTGGGAGATGGAGGGGCCAAGGAGGCCAAGCTGGTTAAGCAGCAAGCAGCTATGAAACCATTAATAACAAAATCCGCAAAGGAGAAACCTGCAAACAGGTGGTCCTGCTCACCCCCAGGTTCTGCCTACAAGGATTTGACCAACTATAGGTCAAAAACATTTTGTCAAAAATGCGAAAAGCAAATCTTGATTTTTTTTAGTGCCCTGAAGGATTGCAACTTAATTGGACCTCCCTAGAGCTACTATTGATTCCTTCCTTTTTTGTTTTGTTTTTGAGCAAGCTTTGGGATCTTTTAATACCTACTTTTCTGTGATATTTGGTTCTAGTCCATTATTTCCCACATTCCTATACATCTGCTGATTTTTTTAGTTGTTTGAAATTTAAATTATTTGGTTCAGAAATACTTTGACTTTCACATTGTACATCACTCTGAATGTCTTTGACCTCTGTTCTATACAAAATACTTACATAAAAACACCTACCCACCCCCAAACATGCTTAAAAGGAAACCCCAAATATATTGTATCCACCTTGGATAGCTTGGAAAGCATAGATAACTTTCAGAAGCTAGTACATTTTCAGAAATTGTATCATGTCCTGCATAACAGATTATGTAAAATGAGGCCCAAACCTTTGCTTTCAAATAGTTGTATAATCATGACACCCTGAAATTGTAGTGCAATTTCATGATGTATGGTTTTTGTGTATGTATTTTCTATTGTATTTTCTTGCCTACATTTGGGCTTTGCATACATGAATTGTAAGTCATTTAAATATTTGCAGCTTCTGGGGTATCCAGTATTCCGTTTATTCAACACCCTATATACTTACACATTTTAGTTTTAAAAGTCAACCCCAAAAACTTGGTTTGATTTATCCACAGAGAGTAACATACATTACCTCTTACAACAAAAGAAACTATCCCCTCTTCTGAGTAGAGTGGTGAAGAAAAGAGCTTAGTCCATCCTAGGAGAACCTAAAAGAAACACTAAACACCCCCCCCCCTCTCTCCACTGTCATGCTGCTTCTAGATATTTTCAATTCTTGGGTAGGAAATGGTGGCAGTAGACAGACTAGTCTCCTGAAGCAGCATCAGTTCTTTCTGCAGAATGACCCTTAACTTATCTAGGAGTCATATCAAAATCCATACTATAATGACCCAAACCTGCACTCAACTCATACATAGGGTCAACCTGTACCTGAGTTTATATGGTACTCTCAACTTTTTGACGTGCTGTGTGTCATCTTAGAGATTCTCCCCTGCCCTTTGAGTTTTGTTCTTCCTAATATGAAAATAATTCAAGAAGTGATACCATTCATTGATTTCAGGAGCTTCCAAAACTCAAATTAGAAATTCAGTATGCTGTGCATTGCTTTATTTTGTGATGAACCATTATAGCTAAAGACCGAAACATCTCTCTCACTTAGGTTATTAGAAAAGCTCCACTCATTCCACTTAGCCTTTAGCTCTAAAGAAGAAACAGCTAAAAAAGCTTCAACTTTGCCTGAATAATGATGATATTCTTTGGACCATTCTGACTCCTTCAGTCTGCACTCACTTCTGCTCTCATATGTGACCTCCTAGTTTCCACTTGATATTTGGTGTGCATTGGAAGAGGGGTAGTCTTATACGGCGAGCATATCTTATACGGCAAGCTCTATATTTTAACTGGAAAAGTTGGGGGGTAGTCTTATATGCCCAGTCGTCTTATATGCTGGAAAATATGTTATAGTATAATGATTTAATTCATTTATGCTGATAATAAAATAAGATTTATTCTTGTTCTTGAGAAAAGTTCATAAGTATTTTTTTTCAGTCAGACCCATATTAATAGAAAATATTCATGTTGGACACCTATATTGTTATGAATATTATGATTCAGAATTTTAAAAGACAGAGTTATGGTTTTATGTCCCTTTCAGAGGGATAACAAGAGAGATACCATGAGAGCAAACTTTGAGATGCAGTTGTAATGTACCATGCAAACATATTTTCAGTTTAGATGTGTGACAGTTTTACTCTCTACCTGTCATACCTTATCATATGTATATTGCTTAAATGATATGCATCTAAAACATTGTCCGGCTTCCTAGATTTTGCAGCTTGAGTGTACATGAAAGGCTATTCAGAATATACTGGATTACATTTTTCAATTGGATACACAACATGTACTGTTGAATAAACATGATGGGCACTTAATACATCATCAGATGTTTACAACTATGATAGCTAAAGCCAACATTAAGGAGACTAATTTAAATGAATTCTTGATATCTGATTTAAGTTATTATTATTTATTTATTATTTGCGGTATTTGTATACGACCCTTCCCAAGGCCTTAGGGGACCCAGGGCAGTTCACAGTGACTCAGGATGGTTCACAAGTTCTGCTTACATTTTAAAAGAGTCTGCTTTTAGTAGGGCTAGCATTGGGTTTATATGAACATATGATGCATTTTGGTCAGTTGATCAGTATAGCATTCTGTTTTCAATTATCCAATAGGGATTTAGTCAGAAAAAAATATTATATTGTATTACATTATTGTGGCATAATGATACACTAACCAAATAATACTTCCCAGTTAAATTTTTGTAACACCAAGTTTTCAGAAGTGTAGATGATGATGGGAAGAAGCCTATAAACATTAATCTCTTGAGCCCTGTGGTAATTCCTAGGAAGCAATGATGGTTTCTTTAACTACTGTGGTATGCAAGAGTACTGCCAGATATTTAGCTTGGTTTGAATAAATTGGCAGAGAATCCTGAAGTCGTCAGCAGTGTAAGCCCATCCTACACTTTCACATTTGCTTTATTAAAGATGGGAGCCAGCTGTGGATTAAGTCACTGCTGCTGTGTGATGTGTCCTGTTTTGTTTGAGGACTAAGCTCTATCTATAATACTCAGCAATTAGCTGGAAATTTTCTCTTATGGTTTTGAACCGATTTCATTCTTGTAGTCTCTTATCTTTTATTAAAAAAATGATCTTTGTGTTCCTCTGTTATGTTTGCAAGCTATAGAGCAGGAGTATCTCTCTTAATATTTAACCCATGCTTAATTTGTTTTAGATTATCACAAGTATACTTGTAAATACATGTCTAAAAGCATAGGAGATATGATATTATGCAATGTAGTTTAATTCTCATTGCAAGCATGCCAGGAACGTTCAGGCAGAAAAGAATGTAGTGGCTATTTGCATGAAGGAAGTGGGTGCGGGGAGAGACATTATGCTTTCCTGAGAACTGTTGTTAGAAAGTGATGCTTCTCTCTGGGGGAGCTGTGTCAGATGCTAATTTCTCTCCATGACCATATCAGTGCGGGTGCTCTGCATGAAGCAATTCCAAAACTCTGAACCAATACTTTCATATTTAATTGCTAATAAAGATAATGACCTCTTCCAAGATAATTTGTTGCATGCTGTTATGTTTTATTTCTTCAACAATGTTGTTGTTTTAATTAAGGCTCTTGTTCGTCGCCTTTCTAATTTCTATTAGTCTTCTATTTTTTGAAAAAAATTGGCCTCAAGCTAATTGTTAGTCTCAGTTAGAAAAGACCCATTGAATCATTCA